GTTAGTTACAAGACTTACTTCCTGATCAAAGAATCCACCATCAGCATTATGCACACCTTCCTTTATCCTGTCTTGATTCTTTAACCAGGACTCCTTCAATAGCACCTTTAAGAATACACTACACTTGCATTTCACAGTAATGAACCCCTCCTCCAGTACTGAACATTTAACAGCTTAGATAAATGCCAAATATTTAAAGCTACTGGTCTAATCAGAAAAGTTCTCATTATACACCAACCTCACGTTAGTCCATGTTCCAGGCATTTCTGAACAAGTCAACAGGTCACAAACACAACACTAGCTAATGAGCAGATCAATGCTGTTACACAAGAGACGGTGACTCATTCACCACATGAATGAATTCTGAAGTTGAACCATGATAGCCCATGAATTGGAAAACACTATCCAATACAGGAGAGGGTTACTTTTTAATGATTAAGATGAATCACATGTGAGCTTTTAAACCCTGCCAAAACAAGTAATACAAGTTATTGTAGAGATGCTTATGGCCATCTGAAGTAGAAAAGACACTACTCCATAGCTTGTTTTAAAGCTCACCTATTCTGTACTAGATTAGCTCCATTTGAGAGGGCACAAAATCTAACTTCACAAACTCTATACAGATGGTAAAAGCACCCTATGAAAGAAAGGATGTACTGTATGAAGTTCCTTGTACCGTATGGCACAACTGCATTTAAGTACACCTGGCAGAAATGCTGACAGCAATCCTTTTCCTTTATCTTAAATGTTAAAACAAAGCTGATGCAACTGCATGTGTCTGCCCCTTACAACACCTTCCACTTCTACTAACCACTAATGCAGGCACTGCTTTCTGATTATGTGAATTTTTGTCAAATTTACACTTCATGGAAAAAGTGTTTCCATTAAATTTTACTTCCAACAACTTCTTGAAAATGAACAAAATACCCAACATGGTCCGAATGCCACTTTCTCCTATATTTTTTCTAGTAATATCCAACAATATAAAAACAGTTACACTATTTTTTTCATTTGTAGCAGTGTTCTGGGTAAACTGAACAATTAATCCTCTGCGATGGAGGGGCCTCCCCCACACAAAGTCTTGCCAAATACATACTTACAGTTCAGCTGCTGTTTTCCAGAAAAAGTGTTCTAGTATAGCACATGTCCCTTCTCTTTACACATCAGCATTAATAAAATAAGCATTTCTTAAAGTGTAAAGAATCATAGCAATGAATATACATTTTTATTAACAATCTGAACTCAAACTAATGTTGTTCTCTGCTTTTCAAAAGGTCTGGAGTCCAGCTGTACTAACACCCATCATTGGCAAGGTGTATCTATCAGATTAAATCCATTACTGAAACAAGGAAATGTTGCAGATGTATGTCTTGCCGAGGTGCAATCATCCTGTTAGAGCTGTCCAAGAAATCTGGGATCTAATGATATTTTCCTCATTAAATGCAGGGGAATGTAATTTCTTCTATAAGTTAACATAATCATTTCCCTAAATTAGCTGCACTGCAGAGCTAGAATTCCAACCCATCAGTAAGGGTATTTCTACTGAAGTTTTAATAAAAACTGGTATCACTCACACTAATCATCTCTTTATGCTGTCACAGGTTTTTCCCAGTAACTTACAACTCTAAGCTCTAAAGAGCTTCTATTAATAACAGCGCAGAGCAATACCACCTTCCCCAAAATAGAATTCAAGCCCAATTATTACTCAGATTTTTTTTTTTTTTTTTTTTTACTAGTAGCACTTCAGACAGCAATAAAATGAAATGCAGATACATGTTTTTCCCTGTTCACTTTGTAAAAGTGGCAGTCATGCAGGAGATTTTCTAATTAAAGAAACAGGATTATAAAACCACAAAATTGACCCAGGGCCTTTGGGCATACAGAGTACTGACAGTTCTAATTAATTTTTTAGTGTGACAAGATTTCACTGACTGTGGAATCCTGGAAGCTGTTTCAAATTTGCTCTATTCCAATACAGCAATTCTAATCACAAGTGAAACAACTTTGCATTCAGTTCAAAATTAAAACTACTTCAACACGTGTTAATAAACAGTGTATCTAAACTCTTGTTAAACTGTTGTATAACAGGGGTGTACACAGCCCTGATCCAAGCAGGACAGGGCAGGCTGCTCTACCATCACACCACCTAACAAGGCAGAGGCTGCAATCAGGGCTCCCACATTTCTATCAAAAGTGTGGCCTCAGAGCATGTCGCCACTTACCAGACCACACTGAGCTCAGACCATTCACCACAGTCTTTTCTCCAGTTCTTCTTGACAACAGCAATGGTCTCACAAGCAAGCAGTCACATTAATGAAACCCAGAATTGCCAGTAAGAAGTTGCATGGTGTGACACTCATTTCTGTGGATCAGTACCGGTATATACTTAAGCAGGTTTTGCACAGGAAGAGGCAAGACATGTTCATCCTCTATTGAGGCAAGTCAACTCCAGAAGTGTTTCACTGTTACCCTTAATTACTAGGATAGGGCCAGGAAGAAGGGCATCATTTCAAAATTCGCAGAATTAAAAGCAAATAAAGAAACACTGGGACACGGAATATGTGCACAAACATACAGTTTACAACTCTGATGTTAAACAGGATTTTAAACACACAATGAAGGTAGTGTTTAATTATCAAATTGGGTTTTAAAACACGACATATCTTTACAGCATCAAGTGTTTTCCTCACATATAAAAGACCACGTGTACCTGCTTTCAGGATTTCACAAACAGACCTGAACTCATATTTAGTCAAAACAGTTGCTAAGTATAAGCTGTAAAGGCAGAAGTAAAACATGAGAACACTATGTCAAGAAAAAAGAATTTAAAGTTAAAACTAAACTGAGGCTAGAGTTCTGGGCAATAAGGCAAAGTAATTATACATGTGGTAAATGCAAGAAGAATTAAATTACTGCAGGGCAGATCTGACATCTGTGCTAGCAGCGGTGCTACAGATCATTAGTTATAGGCATTTCACACCAAGTGCTACAGAAGATAATTTAAGCAGTGATGACACCAGCTCCTTCCCATCTCTAGCCCTAGTGATGTTCTTTTTTGCATTACGGGGGTTACTTCTTCCAAGAGTGACCTCTTAGGCATTTTACATGTTAATGTTTGAGCAACTAAACTCTACTTACACAAGCTTTTTTAAATAAAAACCCACAGTTTTAATATTAAAATACATTTATATTTTATGGTATCTTAAAACAGTAGCTACATGCAAAGTTGTAACAAGTGAATTAAATTTTAAATCCCTGATGAATTTTAATGTTGTGTCCTTTTAAAACATAAATAATTTAGCATTTTCACTAGCTAAAACCTAAATATTTTTTCCATTTATGCTGTAATTAAAAGACCTATTAATTTGTCCCTAGCACTGTACAGCTTTGATTTCTTAAGAATCACTCCTCTTCCAAATTAGAAAGAGGAGTCCAAAAAGTCATTCACAAAACTATTTCTGGTGGTGTATGGGAGGCTACCCTGCATTCATTTTGCAATTCCAGATTCTAAGTTATTTAAAGAAATAAGGTATACGTACATACATGTATGAGTTAACATGCAGTCTCTAAAGTTGACCTGAGGACACAGCCGGGAGATGAATCTCACGAGGCACAGGCTCTATCAGAAACCTAGCTGGTACTAGAACATGTTTAAATTACTCCTGTATGGCCCAAGATGTAAAATGAAAAACAAACAACTATGATTATTCCCCCAGTTAGGTAATTTTTGATGTGGGCATTGCTGCCACCACATGGCCAAACAGCTGAACTATGCCTACCCTTCCTCTGCACCTTGCAGATGCTAACCTGCTCAGCACACTTTCCCTTCTACAAGCCCTCTCATTCCAGCTTTCTACTCCAGCCTCTCACAAAGCCCCATCATTGCTACTGCTTTCCCAAATTACTTCCACCTAAAACAAGATTAGAAGGAACTCAAAGCATTCAGATCTTGCTGACTGTCTCTTCCAAGTATATGCCACCAGCTGTAGGAACAATTTGGTGTTGCAGAATTATGCCAAACCGATATTCACAAAGACAACAGAATATCTTACCAGTGCCAGTCCAGGTAACTGAAGCCTAAGTGATGTGCCAACAAAGGCTGAAACAGTTCCTTTCCTGAAGTGCCCTCCTCGAAACATCCTCTCAGAAAGCCTGCTTTTAGAAAGCTGGACTCAGAACACTGCCCTGTCACTGTCAAAGGCTCAGCAATCTCCGAGCAGGTTCCTCATACTGAAGAGATATGGTGAGTTAAGTCACCACAGAAAGGGAGTTCCATAATTTCTCATACGCAACAAGCAGGAGTCTACATTCATTCCTGTTTATTAGCTCTTAAATGTATATTGCTTCATACTTAAGTTTTAAAATACTTACCTGTTAAGAATTTTTTTTTTTTTTTTAGTTCTGCTGCACGTGACCTAGTAAGCTCATTTACACAAGTGTCAAAGGCACCACAGAAATATTAGCATATGCCATAGCTGTGGGTTTAACTCCATCACCTGCGGGATAAGGCTCCACTGGTCTGAATAACTCAGCAGCACTCTTTCAGAGTTTGGACCGGACTTCCACATATTTGGGCGTCACATTTGAAATAATCCAAAGAATCAGGTAGTCCTCAATAAATACCATTTCTAGTATCTTCACCCTTTCTCTAGGTGATGAATGAAGATATGAATTCTGCAGTTTATCGACCTATATGCTCACAGATCACTTTTTATTTGCACAACCATTTCACCTGTAGCTTTCTAAAAGGGAGTGGGAAAAAATCGTACCATGTATGATGACAAATACCATATATCATTTTGGTAAGGCCAGAAAGGAAGTCAAAATGCCCCAGGACTTCCTGGAGAAAGCTAGGCTGCAGAAGACATTCATTCAACAGTCACTATCTTTGAAGGACTGCATAAAAGAATGGCTCAGTCAGTCAACTAATATGTAAGGCAACTGAACAGTCCCTGCTTTCTTGTGCATACCAGTCAAGAAAAAGATGTGAATACACTCACCTTTTTTGCTCTTTGTGCTATATTAGGCGTTCTAGTGAGAAGCTTTTCAATCAGGTATTCTCTATTCTGCAAAACCAACATTTGGTAAGTTAAAAATCAATACAAGGAAAGAAGAAATTTCATGTAGATTTTAAGGCAGAGCAAAATTTACTCGTAGGGTTAAACGTTTTACCTTGGCTTTCTGGAAAAATTTGCATTTTAAAAGTTCTGCTGCTGTGGGCCTGAAAGATCAATAATAAATTAGAACAGAAAACAAAGACCCCTCTCAGTGAATACAGTACAAGACGTTAGTTAAATGGTACGTCTCTAAAACTTTTGAATTAGTACTGTATGAATGGGGAATGAATGATAATAGCTACTGAATTAATTCACACGTACTCACTTACCACACATGAAAAAATTAAGTCTTCCTATGGCAAAAATACAAAAAAAAAAAAAAAAAGGGGAAAAAAAAAAAATCAGTCTCTAAGCTGCCAATTTTCCCTCTTTTTCTTTCAACACAAATGCATTTTACCCTTAAAACAAACAAACAAAAAAAAGTCAGTATCATGTTCTTCCCCAAGGGACTCTATGAATGCAACTGAACTTTGCTCCACAGCAATAAAAGAGTAATTACATTTTCCGAACAGTAGTATCAATACCTGCTACTGGCATTCTTTTACTTCATTGATGTCAGCAGGTATTCAACAAGAAACCATACCACTAACATGATGCATAAACCAAAAAGAGAGTCATCAGGAGCATCTTCCAACCAAATGGACAAATAAAAAAAATCAAAGTAACAGTTGTAAGGTCAAAACCGAGACATTTCACTTTTACTTGCAGTTCTGTTCAAGCCTCTTTCTTCCCATCATCATCAAGTTTATATTTTTGACATTTTCAACAGATAATCACAATCTCACAGCTACCAAAGTGATTCCACCAGCAGGATTTGTCTCCCCTAGCTTTAGGGATCTAAAAAGCTACTTATCTAGCCAAAGCCAGACTCTGGTACTGAAGCAGACTCTGGATAGAAAGCAAAGCATCTCTATGGGCTCCTTTCCATTAGGAGCCCATACCACTATCAAGACTATTTTGACACAGCTAAATTTAGGGAAGCCAAAATCTCCAAGATTCATCATTTCTAAATGAACAGAAGCAACATCTGCTATAGTTTCCACTTAAATTAAAGCAAGAGATTGGATATAGCACAAACTAGATAAGACAGTGGAAAGCTTCAATTTGGAAAATTTCAGACTCAAAAAAAAAAACCCAAAATCTGAACTTATTTCTCTGAGGACACATCTGAAGATTAAGTGAAGAAAAGAGGAGTAGTAAGGAGTGCATATGTATATATCGTTTCACTCCTACTAGAAATAATGAAACAACTGCTGATATTAACAAAAAGCATCCAATTTAGACACAGACAGTAGTTCCATAGAGCACTTATTTTTCTTCCCCTCCAAAGCACCAAACTCTACAATAAAGGAGTTCTTAGTAGTGGTATTGTAAAGACCACCAGACTTAGCAGTAATTCACACATAAACCTTGGATGAGCAAAAAGGAAGGGAAACTTTTAAAAAAAAAAAAAAAAAAAATCAGTTTCTGTGATAAAGTTTTAAAGTTATATCTCAAATTAACTCTTAACTTCAAAACAAGTTTCAGTGATCCAGTACCACCACATCTCATAACAGGGATATGCACAGTTAAAAGCTAGAGTCTTAGTGAAGTTTTATCTAAACAAGTGTTCTCCATTCCTCTACCATTAATTATGCCAGACACTTCTGAACTGGTCTGGACATGCTTTCTGGGCCCGTTTTCCACACAGGCCGCGGCAGTGAATTGCAGCTGAGGACTGTAAGCAGCATCCTTGGCACTGGGGAGAGAGAGAAACACCCACACACAGATCCCCAAAAGAAAAACATCATGGTCTGAGACAACAGTGCAATGCCAGTCCTAGAATTTGCCACAAAGAGAAGGCACTTCTCCCATAATTGACACGACAGCTATGGCGGTACCTCTGTGCAAAATTAAATCCTGGCTTGGGAGAAACATTAAAAAAAAATAGCGATGACCCCACAATATAAGGACACTCGCTCCTCAGTGGGAGTAACTGGCACACAGATCTAATCACCTATCTGCTAGTCTAATTGTTCAATTCAAGGCAATTCTGAGTATGAAGATATTGCACGTGTTTAAGTATCCAGTGTAATAAATTAGTGTAATTAGTTTAAACACTAATGTTTCAATACTGATGCCATAACAACAGATCAGGTAACTCAGTACTATGTATTCAAGGAGAGAAGAAAAACCATTTTAATTATTTACTTCTCATGTTTTCATACCAATTTAATCTTGCCCTGAAAATTGCTGGACACTTGAAACGAAAAGAAGGCTTGATTATCCAGAACACATTTCATTCTTATCTGTAAGTGGCCAAACTGCAGAGCTAAGCTTAAAGCATCAGGAATTGCTACTACGACCACCAATTGTAAGGAGTTTGGGAATATCTGAAAACAGTACACAAATGATCCTTCAGTGAAAAAAGAATTTGAAGGATTTCAAAAATAAAGATGTTGCCACATAATCTTTTTTCTTAATTATACTCGTTCTCTAGTATTGCTGCCCTCACCTTTTCGACTTGACTCCCTACAACAATATCCTGGACTTAAGCTAGTGTAACGTCAGTGAAGTACACACCATAAAAGACCCACCCAGTACTCAATCAGGATTGCGCTGTCAGAACAATCTTTTTTCCCAGAAATACCAGCTCTGAGACTCTTCAAAAAAGTGACATATTAAATACCCTTAGGAAATAACGTTAATTAGAATGTGCCTCCTCCAATTCTTGAGCAAAAGAAACCTACAAAAATGGGTCTGCATAAAAATGAATAAAGGATAAATAAATTAATCATTCTGGGAACTTGGGACTTCAGCAACGGTTTTGGAATAGATGTTTAGTATTTTCATCATCTTGGCTATCCCATTCACAAAACACAGCAAGAAAGAACAGATCACAAAGATACTATGACATGCAATTACCTACATAAACATGAGGAAAACTCTAAACAAGCTTGGAGCCCCTAACTTTACTGTAAAAAATAAGTACCTCTTAATAATTTTCTCTGGAAATGTCCAAGTTAAAGACAATACTAAGTTTATGTCACAAAATGAGAAAAAAAATCAACATCAAATTATCTATTTATCTTTAATTTACTTTAAAGGCCAAGACACGGGTATGTTTGATTACCAACAGTTCTGTCAGATCCATCTGAACAGTCTTGTTAGACTTATGCACAATATCAAGATTTTTATCTTGCCTCAGATGAGAAATTAAGATGTAGAGCAAGGACTTTTGTTTGATCAGATTTGATTGATCAGATCAACAGTGTATTTAAATATAAATAAATTAGGTTAACAACCCAGAAGAAGAAAACTTAAGCGACCATTAAAAGGCAATTTCTTCTCCCCAGATGAAGATGACTGAAGACTGCCACTTAAAAAATTCAAATCAAGCACTTACAGATGATGTTTAAACACTGGAACTTTAAGTAGTCTGTATATTTAAAAAAAATAATTCCACTGTACATGGCAATAATGACCTACCTTTTGGAAGGATCTTTTTGAAGGCATAATGAAATTAGTTTTCTAAAGGATTTGCCATACTTTTTCATCATCTCCTTGTCCTCTACACCTGTCTCTAAAGTGGGAGGGTCATTTTGAAGCGTCAGCATTAACACCTACAGTAAACCCAAAAGAGGTACTGTAAGTAAAATCAATTCAAAACACGTAGAAATTAAAAGATAATAAATATTCCACAGAATACATATATTTAGATATCTTGAGTTGCTATTGAAAATGAAGTAGTGCTAAAGCATGGTGGTGTTGGGTTAACGGTTGGACTTGATGATCTTAGAGGTCTTTTCCAACCTTAATGATTCTATGATTCTATGATTCTATCTAGCAGCATAATAATACAGCTAACAGCATTAAGTAATACAAAGTGTTAAATAATACAAAGTGATTGTTACTTTCATAGGAGGGTATTTGTGATAAGGTGCTGCTCCTGTTGCTAACTCAATGGCTGTTATCCCAAAACTCCACATATCAGCCTTGAAGTCGTAACCTCGCACCTGGAATAGAACCAGAAAGGAAAAACAAGGTGGTAATGTCTCAAGTTCCAAAAATTAAAGACTGAAAATGTTGGGGGTCTTTTTAACATTAGGAATACCTGCTCCATCACTTCAGGGGCCATCCAACATGGAGTACCAACAAATGTTTTCCTTACTTTGTTACGAGTAACATCACCTCCCGTTGCTAAAAATGCACTAACACCAAAATCTGGGAAGGAGAAAAGAAGTCGAAATCTGTTAAACTACCAATCACAAAGCAAAAGTTTTACACTTTAGAAATTAAGCCAATTCATAAAGGTCTACTTATAGAAACTCTCTACTGCATTCTTTTGTTTCATGACACATTGTTCTTGAAATGCTATGGAATAGATGGTATAGTTTTATCTGGGAGATCTGCACTAGGACACCCTCAAGTTTAACCTCCTAGCATGTGTCTTCCTGAGTATGATTACAAAGGGCTCTAGTACGTCCGTCACTTAAGGTTTTCAAATGTGCATTTTGAGCCAAAGTTTGAAAGGTTTGCATCTACTATTGTTCAGAGATAAGGTGCTACTTCTGTATAGCTACTGAATTTGAGTGCAATTTGAACAAGAGGGGATACTATATATAACTTAAATACTTACAGAGATTTGACAAATCAAAGATAATCAGCAAAGTGATCAACGATATACATTTAATAGTAGATCATGACATGAATAGTTTTTTCCAAATTCCAAAATAGCAAAAACCGTGTCACTACGTCAGTGACAGCTGTATGGGAGAAGTAGGGGATAAATGGAAGAAAGAAGAGCAGATTACCAATGTATGGAGAGATATTGCCACTTTGAATGGAGCTATATGAAGAGTATTTTAGACTGTGATACTTACAATCCAGTTATACTGAAATCAAGCAGTTTACTATAGACCTACTTCAATTTTTATCTTCCTATTGTTCTTTCCTATTGTTCCCTGATTTTAAGGTTAGGGGGAAAAAAAAAAATATCAGTAACTACAGAAAATGTAGTTTTATCATTACTTTCCACTAAACAACCATTAAGCATCACAGACTCAAATTCTGGACCTCTTCTACATCACGCAAACACACAGAAATACAGTAGACAAGTAAGAAGCAAGCTTCAAGCAATATTCTTTAATTTTCTCTGCAGCTTGCGTGATGAATAAACAAAATATTTTTTTCTCCAAAAGTTACAGAATAGACAGGTTTTGTTTGTATTTCTGAAAAAGCACGAACAACCTCAGAAACACCTGCTTCTTAGTTTTTAATGCCCTAAAAATCAATGCTGGTCTTAGTGACAGTTTTCTGAAGAGGAACTGTTGCATATAAGGAAAACTGAATAGGTAGAAATCATAAATAAATAAATAAATGCATAAATAAAGGAGAGATATGGAAAAAAAAAAAATGTCCTTTTAGTACCAAAGTTAAACAGTTTGTAATGGACAATTGTTTACAGGTCCTTTCAGGAACTGAGATACACAGCTAAAATGCTGACTTACTCTTTCCTCCCCTACTGCTGTTTTTCCCTATTAACATAACATTAATTTTGAAAAGGATAACAAACAACAAACATAAATGGGTGAGGGAGGACAATGAAAAAAAAAAAACAACCCATAACTAAGTAAAATCTCTTCTTGCATAAGCTTCAAAATGAAATATTGCAACACCTCACTGAGAAAGATGTGATGAGTATAAGTCAAGTGAACATTTCACTATACTACTAGGCAAACACTGTTGTATGTTTACAGAGAGAAAGAATGCTTTGATAGCTACTCAATAAAAACAAGACTTTAATTTCCTATCCCAGACAGCTTTCACAAATACAGGTTATTTAAGAAAAGACATGACCTACAGTGGCAAGCTTCCTATCACATAGGAGACAAAGAATTATTGAGAACAAGTTATATAAAGAGGAAAGGGAAATGTATCACAAGGAAAGAGCTGAACAATTCAACAGTGTTATGCACTAGAAGTCACAGCTAATACCAAAGAAAAAACAAATTTAATGAAGAGCCCTGATTTAACTGTATTAGTAAAGCATTTTGAAATTAAAGGAATAAGAGTTGCCCAAATAAGCATAGCCTACAAATCATTTATTCCCTAACATCTTTTTCACTTCAGCCAGGGCTGGGCATTTGGCCAAGCCTCAGCCAAGGCCAACATCCAGAGTTAGTGTTAGGCGTAGGGTTGGGAGAGAGACGAAGCCTATGGCTGCCAAGGGAGCTGGGCTGCAAGGAGCCCACTAAAGCAAGGCACAGGCTGCAAAAACATTTCGTACCTGACAGCTTTTTCAGCTCAGCCAGGGCTGGGGCTCTTGGCCAAAGCCTCAGCCAAAACCAAGCTCTAAGGTCAGGATCAGTCGTGGGAGAAAGACAAAGCCACTGCTTACATGGCAGCGGAGCTGCAAAGCAGCTGCTGCAGGAAGGCACAGGCTGCAAAACCATTTCTCCCCTAACTTTCTCTCCTTGAAGGTGACTGTAGACTTTAGCCTAAGGCTCAGCCAAGGCCGTGTATAGGGTTATGGTTAAGACTGGCAGAGAAATAAAGCATCAAGCTCCTGTGAGAACGGGGCTGGCCAAGGAAAGCTTGGGCTGCCAAAGAATTGTCCCTGATAAATCTTTCTCCTCCATCTGGCTTGAGTATCTGAGGCATAGGCTTTGCTTATTTTTAACCAGACCTTTTCCAAACATTTCTGTGGGTATGGATTACCACAGGAGTGAACACCCTGAGAACCACTGGTGCAATGGGTAAGTTCACATAGCCACCTATGCACAAAACTGAAGAGTAGGATCTTCTGCCTAGACTTCTCAAAACGCACATTCTTTTTCTGACAAGTTTTATTGAAACTGGCATTTCTTGTATGGACTAAACACATCATACAGCCCACACCTTCTACACTTCCACCAATCTCTGTGTATGATTGCTCTTTGCTACATGCGCCTTACCTCATGTCACATATCTGTTCCTTTACTGGTTTCTTTGATATTTTGACCTTTCCCAGGCAATTCAGGCTTAGAAGGCTGAAACTCTGATGAAGTACCAATCATCTTGTTTGCCCAAAGCACCAGATGTTACAATCCCAATAGTTTTAAGTAGAATGTTGGAGCTGAGGTACTGCAGTGACTATTTAACATTGTATTTGTGAATAAGCCGAAAGTTTCCTGCTCTGTACAGAGGAATTTTGTACTTTAAAAATAAGTCTCCCCAGTTTAAACAAAACTCCTCTTTCCCACCAAAGACTGAGCAGATTCTCTGTGCAGGATCTCTGAGGTCCATAATCGGAGGTGTCTGTAGAGCTATCCCAATTCTTTGAAGAATCTATGCTCTTCTATATCTGCACAAAGTCTTTTGTCAGAGAAACACTGGGTTGAGCTTCATTTGTGAGCCATAGCCCCTTAGAACCCAGAAATACTAATGGACAACTGTGTCTTCAAATATTACTCCGCGTTCATATTAGCAGTATGTGCTATGGATATATCTTTTCATTATAGAAGCTTGGGGTGCAGGAGAAGCAACATTATCAGGTATCTGATCTCCAAAGATTTTACTTGTCAAGGCAAAAACATGTAAAAAGGATGAATTTCAGCCTCTTTGACATTCAAAATTGGCTTTCAGTTCATGTGCAATGTTCAGCTGTCCCAAACAAAATAGCCCCACACCAACAAAGAAACAAGTTTGATGCTGCTGCACTTTTCACCTGAAGATCAGAAATAACCTGGTTCTGAAACAAGGCATCACAGAAAGACACATTCCACATATCTATCCAGCCACTGAACTTTCTCACTTCCACATGCACTGAATGCCCTAGCAGCACAATTAAAGCCTTACTCATGAAGATGCCTACAGCAAAAAGGAGGAAAAGGTCAAGAAACCAAGCCCCGGAGTTGAACTAGAAAGGGATAAATGAAGCTGTTGTTTGAAAGTTATCTGATTACCGGGAGAGTAGATTTGATTATGTGTGAAAGTAGTAATCTAAAGTCAACAGCTTTATTTCAGATGGCTCATAAGATTTTATCTTTCAACTTTTTAGTTATTATTATTATTTTTAATTAAGTTGGTTGTCTGGACATCTACTCCTTTGCAATATGAGAAGACCTAAAAAATACTTGAACCACACAGACCTAGAATCTCAGCAGTTGCCTAAAGTGATATACAAAGTGAAGACAACTATAGAGTATAATCAAGTGAATAAATAAATATTAAGTATCTCATTAAAATTCAAGTCTGTAAAATTGACTACCTACTTAAAAAGTCTTGACCTCAAAACAGAAGACTTAAAACTGCTCCAATTAGTAAATGGTTCACCTGCCAGCCAATCCTTTCCTGTCCAGTTTCGCAGACTTCAGAAACTGCTATATTAAAGCCCTCAAAATATACGTTTACACGGTACTTTGAAAGTATTGTTTGTATAAAAAAAAACTTTTGGCTATCGCCATTTTTATTACTGAGAGTTACTAAACACAAAGCTTTCATCGCTGGGTCACAAGCTGTATACAAACTGTGAAAGGCCTGGGAGTACGCTGGGACAGGTGGCAGGCATCACCACCTGCTCACTCTATTTTCCACATATCTGATACTAACTTGAGAGATGGGGTATGGGGTCTTGCTCAGTACTTAAGCTCTTCTGAAAACCAAATCATTTGATTCTTACGGACTACCACTCAAGAAGCATATAGATACATTCAAAGGATATTTAAGATGCTAAACTGTATCCAACCGATACCATTGCAAGACAAATGGTAGAAATGCCAAAAATAATTCTCAGTAAGATGTATCTCATGCATCTCAGTGACTAGTTAAGTTATAGCCAAGGTCCTCATGAAGGGCAGTACATACAGATTTTTGAATCCCCAAGAACTATTACAATTACTTGCAGAAATAAATGAAATAAACAGAAATACGAGTTGCTACTGTTTGCAAGCTGTTTAAGGCACATGGGTGATTCAAAAGGAAACATTAAGAGGACGATAAAAAGTTTCCTTATATATTTGATGGGACACAGAAAAATATTGAATAATTTCTAAAGCATGTATCATTAACCAAGAATCCTGAAATCTGAAACAGGGTAACTTGCAGCTACAGCACTCCAAAAGGAATAGTTAAAAGCCAACAGAAAAACTTGTATCTGTTGCCCCTAATCCAGCTGCAGTTACCCTTTTCTTTTATTTAGCCATTACTCTACCACCGCCAATTACCTGCTATTTGTACAGAGCCATCTTCACCCAGAAGAATGTTGCCAGCCTTCAAATCTCTAGAATGTACAAACAGAGGTTACTTTTATGTATGAAAGTACATATGTGCACATTTTAAGTAAATAAATACATAAATATTGCATACTAATTAGTTTCACAAGATAGCATTTTAAAATTTAAAAGACAGAAACAGGAACTGAAGTATGAAATGTAACTGATTTACAATAAAACAGAGTGCAGAACTCAAACTCTCACGCACTCCCTCTCTCGTATAAAAAGACCCAAATTCGGCTTTGGCATAAAATGAGCAGAATTCAGGGATAGATTTTGAGAACACAAATATTTAGGTC